CTCATTCTCGTTGAACGGTGGATGAAGGAGTTAGGCGATCAATTCTCAATCAATTCCATTGAGAGAAACTTGACCCACAAGAAATGGAAAAGCATCGTGGCAGCGATAGACCATTGGAGAAAGCACGAGACCAAGAATTTTAGAAGCAAAAATCGGCTGGAACTATAGGGATCGGATATAACAATCTGCAGGAGAAAGAAAAGAAGAGAGAGAAATAAAGGGGTGGGCTGGGTGCCTTTGGACTTAATGGAAGTAAAAGAGAGTAAGTGAATGTGTAATGGAGGAGGATGTATGTATCATTTTCTTATTTTTCTAGACTTGACGGCTTGATGAGCCAAGTCTAGCACTTTGATCAATTGCATTAGAAAGAACTGAACTTCACCATTTTATTTGTCATAGTGGTCTAACTTTGCACATACATAATTTAAATACTCCTAATACTTTTATATAATGGAAAATGATTTGGATACTTTTTGATTCAACACACATGTTGACACTCAATTAATTCAATTATTAAAAAATAATATAGATATAGTCAGTTCAATCAGTTCCTCGTTGTAAGTATGATTACATCTTTAAATTTTTCTGCATTTAATTTCATGTTGAAAAATAATGATTTTTTGATACATTTATTGTGGAGTATGTTAAACTGAAAAATGCTTGTATCAATGTTCTTATATATAATATGTGAATGTGTTTATACCCAATTATCCATGTAGGTAAGTATTTTGTTGAACATAGAGTTTTTGAGATAATTGGGAGAAAATCAAGGATTGCAATAGAGCGAGAGGAAAGCTACCATGTGGTAATCTCGTCTACCTAAATCAAGCTTTATGCTTGATTTTTCCCCGATAAGGTTTGGATGGCTGTTGCATATCTTTAAATGTTTGTTGCCACATAATCAGTAGTAACAGTTTAATTGGTTTGTTGAGGATTTCATGCTACCAAGGGGTGTTAGCAATATAAATAGATGGGAATAAAGTCAAGCAAGACATACCAACCATTAAGAGATTGTTATGTCAAAAAATCTCCTTAACATATGGTAAGTGAAATAGCATGCTATAGTTGCTTCGCTCAAAACAAGAAAGATAACTTTCGAGGACCCTTTTTTCTTCCCAATTGTGGAACCCAACTATAAGTTGATGGAAGAAGGTCATAGATTGTGGCTTAATGATTAAACAATTGACAAAAACAAAAGATGAACTTCCTACACTTATGGGTTAAAAGACAAATTACCTTGGATATCTCTCCAAGGACTTCACCAAACAAATGTACCTAGGAAAAACTAAATTGCAAGAAAAGCAAATGAATATTAAGTTTTTGAAAGTTTAAATGAATTATAAAGATGTTGCTTAGATTAAAATAAGGCTTTCAAAAAGGAACTTCAAATGAAATAAAACAAGCTGAACTAAAGAAAACAAAGTTGGAAGCAAGCATGAAAAGTTCACTAATAGCATGAAATAAAATGTAACGAAGACGAAATGGAATGTGAATTTGAATATCAACATTTCTTGATTAATTAACTAAAGTACTTAGAAAAATAACAAAGGAAAGGAGGAAAGGAAACCTCTAATGGTAGTTCTTTGCAATTGTATTGCTTCCTTTCCTTTGTTATTTTTCTAAGTACTTTAATTAATTAATGAAGCAATGTTGATATTCAAATTCACATTCCATTTCGTCTTTGTTACGTATTATTTCATGTTGTTGGTGAACTTTTCATGCTTGCAACTTTGTTTTCTTTAGTTTGGCTTGCTTTCTTTCATTTGGAGTTCCCTTTTGAAAGTTTTATATTAATTTGGTTGCATCTCTATGATTTATTTAAACTTCCAAAAGCTTGGCATTCATTTGCTTTTCATGTAATTTAGTTTTTTCTATGTACATTTGTTTGGTGAAGTTCTTGAAGGCATATCCATGGTAATTTGTCTTTTAACCTTTTAATGTAGGAAGTTCATCCTTCATTAACTTCTACTAATTGTTTGATCATCAAGGTGCAATCTACAACATTCTTCCATCAACACACAGTTGGGTTCCACACTTGAAAAAAAGATAGAGTTGTCAAAAGAAATCTCTCTTATTTTGAATAAAGTAAATAGCATGCCGTTTCACCTACTACTTGTCAAGGAAATTTTTTGAAATGATTGAATGATAATTTAAAGTTTTTTTGTTAACTAAAACTATATACTTAACAAGAACTACTACACATACTTTTATATATATTATATGAAAGTATTAATTGTATGTGAATTGGAATGGAGGGAGGGAGGGAGTAGAGTAATATTTTGACAGATGAATGTGAGATTTTATACTTTCTTTCATTTTCTTATTTTGGGCTTATATTTCTTCTTAATTTCTTCCAACAGTTAGGTTTAACTATCAATTAATTATTTGTAATGCCAAAAGACAAGGAAGTGCAACAATCCAAACAATACCCAAACTTCGCCAACTAATTAGAAATGATAACGTAATTAAGTTAACAAGGAATATTGGAAAATAGTCTTCATTTTGACCATTGGCCAACCATTCTCACAAAGTAGGAGAAATGCCTAATTTTTCTATTAAGCAAAAACCCACTTTAGCCCACAACTTAATTAGATAGTCCCAGTATTAATTAATTTGATAGTTATTGATACACATTTTAATTCAACATATTTACTAAAAAATCATTATTTTCTAGTATAAAATTAAAATAGACAAATTTAAATATACAATCATACATTTATATGAGGAAGCAATTGAATTGGTTATATTTATATTATATTTTAATAGTTGAACTGAGACAAGTGTTAGAAAATGTGTTGAACCGAGTGTGTACCAATAATTTTCTTAATTAATTGGACATCAATTGATACACACTCTAATTCAACACACTGTACAACACACTCATTCAAAAATTATTTTCTTGTTTTTGTTTAAAATTAAAAGTATATAAATTTAAAGATATAACCATACACATAGGATGTTGAAACCAACTGAATTGGTAGTACTTATATTATAGTTTTAATGATTGAATTGGATATATATGTTAAAAAATGTATTGAATCAAATGTATATCAATCACTTTTCTAATTAATTTGAAGACAATAATGAGGGTACCATCCGATTCAACACCTTCCACAACATGCCTATTTTTTTTTTTTTTTTCAGTCTGAAATTAAAAACCAAAAAAAAAATTAAAAATGTAGTCATAAATACAATATTCAAGAACTAATTAAATTGATTGCACTTACATTATATTTTAATGACTAAATTGACTAATTATTGCTGTGTGTATTGAACTGATGGGTGTTTGAATCATTTTTCTTAATTTTATTCTGTCATATGTAGAAGAAATTCTAAGTTGAAGTCGAGTAAATTTTTCTTTCATATGTCTTAACCCTATATTAATTATACATGTTTTAACACTTTGTACTCTATATCATAGTAATACTTTGTATTTGGTTCATTAAAAAAAAAAAGTAATTTTTAGCAATTACTAGTAAATTGTTTAAGAAAACGCAAAAGTAGATAATAGTATTTTTAACATCAATGTCATGTGAATCATTCTATAGGACAATTGATAAATTTCATTTTTCAAAAAGTAAAATAAAATTCATTATTGAGTACAAAGGGTATTTATACCCGTATTCACTTTGTAATAGTTGTCATACCTACACCTAAGTACACATACATTGCATCATCAACCAAGAGCCCTACCCTTAAGCAAGTTAATGACATAGTCTAGGATTTGAAATCCACTCATGATGAAGTATATTATTCCCTCACCTCTATATCTTTAACCAATGAAATTATCTAATTCGAATCAAATAAAAAATTCTGCTGATATTGATCACACTATTCTTAAATATTCTTTCATTTCCAGCACCCTAAAGTCTCCAAAGAGTTGCAAACCAAATGATCTCCCAGCCATGTTTTAATCTATTAAAGTAGATGAGCCTTTCATGCATGATAAAAGCCTCTCGCAACACGTTGTTGTTCCTATTGTAGAAATTCCCACCAAGCATAGCATTTGTGCCATATTGCCTTAGCTATACTTTATAGTGTAGAAAAAGGTGATCATGGTCCTCCTCTTGCTCATTGCATAGACTACAATGTACTCTATTAATGTCTTTTATGGCAAATGATGAAATTAAAGTCAACTTTTATTCTTTCTATATAAATCAAATGCTAAAAAGTGTAATTAAAGCAACCTTAAGTGGTGGTTTAAGTTTATCAATTTACCCTTAGACAATGATTGGTATTTATTAAAAAATTATTAGTTTGTGATCTAAAATTAAAAACAAACAATTTTAAAATATAACCATGCACGTAAGATGCAAAAATTGGTTGAATTGACTATATTTATATTATATTTTTAATGGTTGAATAGAAGTGTCTCAAAAACTGTGTTGAATTAAGTGTATACCAATAATTTTCCTTAACAAATTAAAAAATTATATCTACTTATATACAAGTTTTACACATTAAATTTACACAAAATTATGTGTGTAAATAGATCCATATTCAACATTAAATACTACAATTTCAATTTTGCCTCAGATAAAAAGTTGACAGTATCATTCTTTTTATTTAATTGTGATTAAAGGTAAAAATAGAAGCCAACCACTACTATAGTCTAATGGCTACAATTCCTTTCAAAAAAACATAATGATATTTAGAAATTCAAGGTTCAAACCTTAATAATCTGATTCATCATTTCCCTAATTGTACTAATTCAAAAGAAGAAAAAAAGTGAAAATGGAAATATAAATACAAAAATATAAAAATCAAAACGTCTTGAACGTCAAAACGTCCTGATTTTTCAAGCTTTCATTTAAATATCAATTAATTATATTAATTAATGAAGTTTCTTGATAAGAGTGAAGGAATAAAGTAAAAGAACTAATTAACATCAAAAGAAGTACTACCAAAATTTATTGGAACGTAGATTTGAAAGATAAGTACATAATAGTGCTTTGAATTGCAAGAAAGTGGAATAAAGTGAAATAAAACTTTTAAGGGGTCACACATCCAATCTTTTATTGAATGTGGAGTTTTACTTGGTGTCTATAGAGGAGATAGTTTATAAGCATTTATATGATTAATCAAATCAGAAGGCTTGAATACCCATGGTCCAATGTTATATATTTGGATATGTTATGTGTACCCTCCATCATTACACCCTCTACTACAGACCTTACTTGTCGTTATTTTTCCGTTAACTCCCAAACCCACCCAACCTAGCCCCTTCTTCCTCTCTCTCTTTTCCTAGAATCTCAGAGGTTACGATTAGTGCAATCAAAACCTACAATTTCATCCTGTCATTTTCTTTCTCTCTTTATCCCTCCATCAACACCAGATCGAGACATTTTCCCTTCCAATTTCTCTCTTTTGTTGGGGATTTGAATTTTGTCCAATTGAGAACATGAAGGTAGTAGTGGAGGAGGTGGAGGAGGTTGAGGCACTGTTGGCTAAAGGGTGGTCGGTTGAGGTGGGTAGGAGGATGAGGAAGGGGGGTTGGTGTTTGGTTTGGGATGGTTAGGGTGGTGGAAGGTTCATCATGGACTAGATGGGTTGGTGGTGAGGGAGAGAGGCGAGAAAAGGACTAGTATGGGCGGAAGAACAACAAACATGGGGGGAATCTGGTAGGGCTTGGTGGTAGGAGAGAGAGGCAAGAAAGGGGACTAGTAGGGGTAAAAGAACAACAAACGTGGGGGGAATGGAGGTAAGAGGTGAGTGGTGTGGCGGTATCTAAAGGTTGTGTGATGTGTTGTTAGCTTGGAGGGAGGAGTAGGAGCAGAGATAGAGTAATCATCAATTGAAATAGTGGAGAGAGAAGAATTAGACCCAAAAGTAGATTTGGCAGAATCATCAGACCCAAAAGCAAATCTAGCGGAAGTAGGGGACATGACGTTGCAAGGCGGTGGTGGCGAAAGCAGATCTGTTGGAGGTGGGTTCAAAAGAACCTAAGCTGCTGAAGAGGAAGATGAGGCTACAAATGATGAGGATGAGGATGGAGGTGAGGAGGAAGATGGATCTGGTGAGGATGGAGGTGAGGAGGAAGATGGATCTGGTGAGGATGGTGAACAGCAAAGGCTAGGCTAGGTGCCTTCAAAGTTAACGAAAAGTAATGAGGGTGTAACGAAGTGTGTAATGGGAGAAGATGCATGAATCAGTGTCCTATATATTTTTCTATTGACAAGCACTAATCTTTATGATTATTATCATTGTCGTATTCAACTAAGTTTATAAGCAATTTCATTGACGTATATATACAAACTAACTAAGAAACAACATTATTGTCAGTTTCCCATACATTATGGTAAGGAATTTTCATCTCTAATTTGTTGATTGATATTCTCTAGCTATTCTTGAAAAAGGACGAGAAGAGATAGAATTAATTTCTATAGTAAATTACTTAATCACGGTGGGATTTTTTTTTTTTTTTGGTAAATATCACAGTGGGAGTTAATAATTGGAAAAATGATTGGAAAAATGATTTGTACTCTTGCAGGTTCAATGTATACTTACTAACACTAATCAGTTTAACAATTAAAATTTACAGTTTTTAATTTTTTGGTTTTTAATTTAAATTTAAAAATAATAATTTTTTAATAAATATATTATAAAGTATATTAAATTAAAGGAGATCTATACTAGTGTCCTAACGATTTACCTTTAATTGAAGCAAGGAGTTGAACTTAAATTAAGAGGTGAACTTAAATTAGTGGTGGTAACTTAGCTCAACAAATCACAACCAAATAAAATGTGATACCTTAAGATGTTTTAGATTGTTTTGACTTGAACCAATGACCTAGCACCCCAATTCATGACAATCTCTTTCATTTGAAAGTTAGAATTCTGCGTTTTAGTCCACAAGACACGTTAAATGAATGGTTACACTTCGGTCAATTGTCCGATGGTATAGGTTCATGTTTTTATTTATTCATTTATTTTGGTATAAGTTCATGTTATATATGTAGAATGTTGCCCAACCTTAGAGAAAAGGGTACCCTCCTTCCATCTCTTGAATAATTCAAAAGAAAAATGGATGTTTGGGAAAGAGAAATAAAAATGAAAAAATGGATGTTTGGACACGAAAATGTATCTACATAGATTTGAACAGTTGAATTCTTGACCGTTCACCTGTTGTACCTAATTCTCCAACAATCACATAGCTTTGTTTGTAAATCGTGCCATTGGACCGCAATCCATCCTAACTGACAAAAATGGTCTTTTGATTCGTCCCCTGAGGCGGCCTTGACGTTATACCTTTTAGACAAAAAGATAACGTTTCTGGATGCACAAGTTTCCCAACTTGCGAAACTGTCAAAAACCACATTATGGAGTTGTTCACTGTTTCTTGAGCTTAAACTCTGTGAGATCACATTCAGACCTACCTACCAAACCATGGGATGCAATTCCAACATCCCATTTGGCCTTATCTTATTAAATATGTTATCCATTAGACCTTTCTTTCATTGCTTATTCTCCATCAACCCCAAACTTCTCCCCTTCCCCTTGACTCTACAAAACAAACCCTTATCTCTTGAGTGAAACTCACTTTTCGGCTTCTGGGTTAGAACTGGAAGAGAAGGATGTAATGTCTTTTATACTCGATGGAATATGGCGTTTTAGCAATCTTATAAATTCTTGCTTTACGGTATAAGTGGGAAAATACATCATTAAAGGCAAAGAACAAAAGCACTATAAATCCATTCCTTGGGCTTAAGAGTCGATTGAGATGGCAAGCAAACATGTTTGATGCTGAAACATTGACTCTTGGACTCTAACAACCTGTCGTGGACAATACAAAATAACTAAAAAGTGTTGCTGTGATCATATACTGAAAGACTATCTCAAATTGTTGATGTTCATCTATTCGAATTGTCAAATTCAAGAAACAGTGTATTCCACGAAGATGAAAGTCATTACATTACATGGTCTAATTTTGACACAGGACAGTCAAATATTTATGATGCTGAGTATAACAGACAACACTAAGCTGTGGATACTTGATGGCTCGAAGAATTGTAAGCTCATCCTATTTGTTCTGTATGATTTCCTCTATCGTAATCATTCTTTGAAAGTAAAACTCGGAAACAATTCCTTTAATCTATGCTTCAGTTGAATGTAAGCAAGCTCAATTTGCTTCTAAGAATGTTTCAGTCTAGCTTAAAAAAAAAAAAAGGTGTCATTGTTTGTTGGCTCAATTGCAGTGTGCTCATGGGGATTCTTAGTTTACTTTTGTTCCTCGATCTGATAATACAGTGGCAGATTTGGTGGCCCAATCAGTGCTTCCAGGTGTATGCCCCCCTGTTGGTAATCCTGAAGACCTTTCATTGCTGTTGGCTTATGATAAGCTACGATGAATTTTGTAACTTCGTTATAAATCTGTGCAGCTATTAATGAAAGTTTCCTTTGTCTCCCAAAAAAAAAAAAAAAAAAAAAAAGAGATTTAATGAGTAGAGACAATTTTCTACCCAATTCCTTATAAAAGTTATATTTGCAGAGATCGAGTACATGAAATAATTATGGTAGGAAAGCACATCTAGGAAAAAATAAAAAGGGAAAAATAATGAAGGATGGCAAATCAGTATTT